TACTTGTTGTATAAGCTGTTGGATAAGCAACCTGATATGTATTTGGACTCAGAATGACATATCAAAAACATAAATATGTTACAGTCTCTTTCTATTGCCTCCAACTCTCCTTTTCTCAGAATTTAAGAAAATCAAAATCAAATAAAGATATTAAATTTTTATTTCATTTTAACCTCTGAAAAATATAATTATAAAAATTAGGCACTGGCAATATGGCCCATTGAGTAAATGTACTTGCTGCCAAACTTGGTGACCTGAGTTCAAGCCCCAGGACTCAGATAGTGGAAGAGAAAAAAAATTGAATGTCGTCCTCTATCTTCAAGTCATGGGCCACAGTATATGCATGTGTGTGTGTGTGTGTTCATGCATGTGCTTACACTAATAAATTGATGAAAAAAATTAACTAAGTCCCACCTAATTTAATTTTAATACTTTTATGTTGAGTGACATTTGCATCAAAAGTTGAAGAGTGTATAAGATTAAGCCACGAGTGAAATTCACTTCATTTACTGAAAAGCACAATTAAAAAGGATACACTTAAAAGTAAAGTCAGATTTGAAAGTAAAGCTTAATGTCCAACAAAAAGAGGGAGAATATTCACATGAAATCTTCAGTCAGGTAACATTTGTTTCGTATAAATAAAGGACATAAGTTTTTTTTTCACCAAAATGCATCAGACTACAATAGCCTTTCAGACAAGTTCCTATTGTATCATTATATCATAAGTAAACTAAAGTGCAGTAAAATTGCAATACTTGTGTATTTATTTATTTATTATTTTTTTGGTTTTTCGAGACAGGGTTTCTCTGTATTATTTTGGAGCCTGTCCTGGAACTCGCTCGGTAGACCAGGCTGGCCTCGAACTCACAGAGATCCGCCTGCCTCTGCCTCCCGAGTGCTGGGATTAAAGGAGTGTGCCACCACCGCCTGGCTTGTGTTTTTATTGTTTAAGGAAATAGGAAAATTTTCAAGTGGATGCAAATAGCAAATAATACTGTTTTTTAAAAAAAAGTTCTACATACCCATAAAACTTAGCTGCATATTACAAACGCCTGTGAAAGGTGGAAGATAATGCTTATCATCTCAAGTATCAGTTATGCGGGTTCTCAATTGCCTACTCAAAGGTAAACTAGTGAGTCAGTTGTCACATGGCTATAAGAGAGAAAAAACTTCAAGAAAAGAAACAAGCAGGAAGGCCATGAGTGGAAAATACCTACGTTGGGGCTGACTTAGTGATTAACAACATTGACTGCCTTTCCAGAGGATCTGGGTTCAATTCCCAGAGTCCACATGCCAGCTTACCACAGTTTATGATCCCAGTGCCAGGGGATCCGACATCCTCAAACAGGCAAAACACCAATCAGTGCTCATAAAATTAAAAATAAATATTTTTTTTAAAAAGGAAGAAGATGCCTACCGTAAGAATATCCTGTATCAAAGCTGGGTGGTGGTGGCACACACATTTAATCTCAGCACTCAGGAGGCAGAGGCAGGAGGATCTCTGTGAGTTCAAGCCTAGCCTGATCTATAGATCAAGTTTCAGGACAGCCTCCAAAGCTACAGAGAAACCCTGCCTCTCAAAAAACCAAAAAAAAATCCTATATCAAGCATTCATAGACTAGTAGATATATATCAGATGCCAATGGGAAATCAAGGACCCAGGACTGGAAGATGTTTATAGACTATAGACAGCTAGAAGGCTATCAGAATAAGACAGACAGATTGTGTGAGCTTTACATGAATAGATTTGGGAAGTGAGAATCATACATATTTAACAAGTATACAATATATAAATGATTCTCTAAGAATTGTCATATATGCATTAAATGTAAAAATCCTATGGTTTCCTCGATCAGTTTTAGAACTGGTGAGATTTTTTTATTCCATTTCCCAAGAAGGAAAAGGGTATATGCAAATTATCCCTGGGCATCTTTGGAGTTAAGCATGGTTCTAGGAGAAAGGCCTTATTACCTTAGTCAAAGATGTCCACAGCACAGTCCCAGGTGTGGTAATGATTTCTCTATTGTAGCATTTGTCTGATTGGACCTAGACGCACACCTGATTCATTGGTAACAGCTCCTAAAAGGGTATGTGTCTGTAAATTTCCCATTGGTCAAAATCCATCAGGAGACAATCTAAAGAATTTTTGTATATATTTTAAGTATAAAATATCTTCCATGGTAAAACAAAGTATGAGTACAGAACAGGTGAAATTCTAAGGGTTGTATTTCAGATGGAATAAAAACAGACATTTGGACTCATTTCACCAACTTGTTGAAAGAAGAAGAAAGATCAACCCCATTTAAGTCATGAGATCTTTATTTTCTAAACATTTGTCTATCTGTGGTAAATTCAAAGGGTGTCTAAAAGGATCTCTGCAGTATACAACAGAATTTACTGCCAGTACCTTGGAGTATTGGAAATATTCAAGAGCTCTTCCATTTTTTTTCATAAATTTCTTACTTTGCCATTTCCACCAAATCTCCCTTGTTCTCATTCCTAATCTCTGTTCACTAGACTCGCCTCCTCTAATGATATGCAAGGCTGGTAGAAATTAGGAGAAAGAATTCTTCTCAACATGCATACACACACACACACCACATCTATGCAAACTCATCTCTTCCCCTAAGAAACCCAACATCCCCACTCTACTCTCCCACCCCCTGAAACATTCAACCTCAGAGACAAGTGTCTGAAGCCAACTTAATTTTCCAAGTCCACCTCAGTTTTCCAACTCAATGCTCTCTCATTTCTGACCCACCATGCCACCTGGCCACATTATACTCTTAGTTATATATCCTCTCTATAAATCATGGTTCCAGAGATCAGCTTCCTCTGCTGTGTCTTCTTATCATGATGTACTGTTTCATCACAGACACAAAAGCCACAAGAGCCAACAGATGCTGCACTGAAACTGCCAAAAGTGACTACAGTTCCCATTTTGGGACCATGAGGAAAAGCAAGGAATTTCAAATGTCCTCGTAACCCCTTATTAACACCAGCAACTGCTTAAATTTTTCACCCCTCGTTCCCTTAGGAAAATAAATTTTTGTTTATGGGAAAATTCTACCAGACAAGCTGATACTCATTTATAATGAGTGTGATCATGAGGCAGTCATTTCTCCAAGTATCAATTTCTTCAGCTATAATTGAGAGTTCACCATCTATATTTGTTTAAGATTAGGTGGAATTTATGCCAAATGCCTGGTACAGACAGAATGAGAAGCAACAAATATTAGTCATTTTATGTTGTCAGATGCCATCCTTTAGCATTTTTTGAGTACATATTGAGAGCTCAGCCAATCAGTAGGCTCTTAAAGGCATATTATGCTACATCACATATACCTTTACAGAATGCATAACTTAAAGGCAATAAATCTTCTGGAGCTGTAGAGATGGCTCAGTGGGTAAAGTCCTTGTAGCACTTCCAGACAATTCAAGTTCAGTTCCCAGTACCCACTCACGACCACCTATAACTCCACCCATATCTCCTCTTCGGGCCTCCATAGACACACATCTTCTTTTCAAAAGGACAATTCCTATACACTCCGGCCAAGGCAATAATTATAGTAAACTGGTGCAAGAATCAGCACTAGGAAACATTACCTTCACTATACATGTACACAAGAATACCCCACAATGGGGCAGTTGCTATCTAGAAGATCATAATGATCTGTAGGGTAAAGCAGGGGTACTTCATTCCAGAAACAATCGAAACTTATCTAATAAAACACAGAAGCTGTGTATGAATTAATGCCCTATGCAGTTGCCAGAGATTTGTCTTCACCAGCTAGTTGTCTCACAGAAAGGATTACCTGTGTGATTTGTCATTCTAGATGATCTATCATAGCTGATCTTTAAGTAGAGAGAAAGCACTTTTATGGGTTGCTATGAATGATCACAGTGTATCTAGATAATCTTTAAGTTTCTATGATATCCCTGGTTACTGTTTTCCTAAAAATTGCACGTTTTATAAACTACCCCTTAGTTTAGCAGTAAGGCAGGCCTGAACAGAAAAACTAGGTTTCTCCCACTTGTGTTGCTATGAAAACTTACCCAAAGCATGTGAGTACATAAAGTTTGTCTTAGCAACAAGAAAATATTTTGATAGACTCTGTTCATGCAGTCCAAAACTAATTTAAGAAAAAAATGTAAATCCTACAAAACAAACAAGAACACATTGTAGTCATTCAAAAACTATATTTTATTCATTGTTGAGCCCAGAACACAGGGTCATTCAAGGCTCTAGCTTAAAAAGGGGAAGAAGGGTTTGGAGCGCTTTATCAGCTAAACAGATATGCCAAGTAAAGTCACAAAATCGCGGTGCTTTGAAGTCAGGTGAGATTTCAGCAAGCAAAAGAATTCCATTCATTTAGCTAGAACTATACAGTAGTAAATCAAAGACAAAAAAAAAAGTTTTTGTTCTTGGCACTGGAGAGATGGCTCAGTAGTTATGAGCGCTGGCTATTCTTCCGGAGGACCAGAGTTCCCATCACAGGTGATTTGAAGCTCTCTTCTGGCCTCTACACATACTGTGGCATATCATACCAACACACACACACACACACACACACACACACACACACACACACACACACACATCTCTCTCTCTCTCTCTCTCTCTCTCTCTCTCTCTCTCTCTCTCTCTCTCTCTCTCTCTCTCTCTCTCTCTCTCTCTCTTTTAACATATGCAGACCCCACGTTTTAAAAGTTTGAGCGATCACTAGATCTTCCTCAATATCCCTACTTTCCCTTTAGGCTACCTTCCACAACCTCATCCTCCCTGAGGAACCTGAGGCAGGGCCGCCCTGAGTGACTGACGTCAGGGCCGTAAAGTGCGCCAAGATGGCTGTCAGGCCACGCCCAGGCCTTGCGCAGGCGCAGTTCATGGCGCGTTCCCGGAAGAGCTCAGAGGTGGGCGCCGTGTAGCCAAGGCCGGTAGTGTCTGAGGCCGGTGGCTGATGTGGAGGAAGCTATTAAGGGGAGGACCAGGTGATGAGGAAGGTTCTCTAGAGTTTTCCGGGGAGAAAGGCGGGAGCTGGGGTGGCCCCCGGGCTCTAGGCTTCCAGAGGCAGACCCCCCAGACGTGCTCCCGAAGGAGAGGCAGTTAGCAGGACTGACTTTGCAGGAGCGCTGGGACGCTGCGCGGTCGGCTGCAGAACCGTGCGAGGAAGACGCGAGGACCTGGAGGCTGCCCTGCAGGGAGAAGGAACCCGCCGAAGGCAGCGGGGCCCTGGGCAGTGTGCTGTCCCTGAGCTCAGGCTTCCCGTCTGCAGCGGACCCCAGCGGTTCAGGGAATGAGTGTTTAATATCAGAAAGTTTAGGAAACCCCCCTTCGTGGAAAGTCTTCGTTTTGTTTTTCTCCCTTAGTCCGTGGAGCACATTTAGCTTTTGTGCTTTTCAGCCTAGCGCTTTCCATACTGGTGCAAGGTCTTTAGCCCAGGTAAACATGCACCTGGTGCACAGAAGAGTTTTTCTAACTCTCCACGTGAGAGTTTTGACCTGCTAGGATACATTCAGGGAAAGTACTTACTGAGATTTTTTTCCTAAGTTATACATGAAAAAATACTTCCCTTGGGCAGGGGAAAAAAAGACCAGGAGTTTCCAATGGGTTCTCGTACAGATTGCCTTTCTGCCACTGTGTGTGCACACGCATAAGGGATGGTATTTCTGTTTTGAATTTTTATATAGTTGTTTTTCTCGTTCTGTCAGTTAAAATGTACACTAATCTTAATACTAGCTACTTGTATGTTTAAATTCTGTGTAAGGTTAGAGCTTGGGTGGAGGTAGGAAATAGGAAATGAGTTTACCTGATCCACTATATTTTGGGTGAATCTGGCAAATGCAAAACAAAACAAAAAAGCAATACAAATGGGTTTGAGTGCATTCTTTCACACTACACATGAAATTGTCAGTTTTCTCTTCGAGAGAATCCATAGGTTGCAGTACTAAAAAGATCAAATTGCACTGCTGAAAGTGTGGCAAAAATAACTTTTTTATTATTTAGCAGAAAGCTTATAGCCCAGCTTTGATTAAAGATGGCTTCCTTGATCACTCAAGAAATTCACCTTTCTAAAAGGCATGAAGAAATGTAAGTTTTTGAAAAAGATATTCCAAATGTGGAGTGTGTGCTGGCTTTATGAGTGAAACATGCACAGAAAGACTTAAAAACATGAAAGCATCATTTTTCTGACTTGAGATTTTATTGTAGATGGTTTCATTGTCTCTTGAGAATAAGATTAAAAGGCACAACTATTATACATCAGTGTATATACTTTATAAAAACTAATAACAAAATTCACCTATGTAAGCTTCACAATAGAAATTTTTTGGTGGCACAGGTTCTTGAGACAGAGTCTCATGTAACCCAGACTGGCCTTGAGCTTGCTATACAACTAGAACTGATCTTGAACCCCTGATTGCTCTCTGTCTCCTGAGTGCCTGGAGTAAGGGTTGTCACCACCATGCTTGTGTTTTTGTAACTAAAAATTTTTAAACTTTATTATTTAAAAATTGTGTGTGTGTGTGTGTGTGTGTGTGTGTGTGTGTGTGAATCTGCATGTGTGGATACTACAGGAGGCCCAGAAGAGGGTGAGAGGGTATCAGAACCCCTGGAGCTAAGAGTTCCTGGCAGTTGTTTCCTGCTTGATGTGGGTTCTGAGAACTAAACTCAAGTCCAGCAGAAAAACAAGAACCCCTAAATTATGAGCCATCTCTCCAGTATTTTTAATCACTGTACATAATTTCTTATTTATCATTTAGTGGACCCAAAATGTATAAAATGTACAAAAAACTTTTCAAGTGCATTATATGTAACAAAGAAAAGAACTTATCCATAACTTCTCTCTTCAAACATTGGTTTACCTTATGAGTATGCATGCATGCATACTGCCTCTCACTCATATATCAAACCATCATCTTTCTCTTGGAAAAAGAGATAAAAAATATTTTTATTGCTTCTTCAAACATATGGAAGTTTAGCACAATTCTAAATGTGTAACATGAGATTCAGGGGTACTGAAGTGTTAAGCAGAAGGTTTCCTATAGCAAGTTATAGCAATGTATATGTGTGGGGAGGTATATATAACTATGTGTACAAGGAGATATGTATTACAGTTTGCATTTTCACCAAAAATTACATATCTTCAACACTCTAAAATAATTTCAAAAGACCGCAGAGGCTAAAAAAGAGAGGCATGTACTTATGGCATATATGAAGTATATGTTAATGAAAATAAAAATAATTTTATCCAGATGGACTTATGACATCATAAACTACCTACTCTTTTCATAGTATCATTAGTTGATAAAATAATTGACTTTCAATAATGGGTCACAGTTGAGGTGAGATGCAATTAAGAAAGAAATGTTATATATTGGTCAAGCAATAAAATGCTTGCTTTTCAATTTTTTTCTCTCTACATAATCTTTACTTTTTTTTCAGAGTATCACAAAGATTAATGTTACTTCAGAAAATGAAGAATAGTTTTCAAGATCAAAACACAGAAAGAGCATGTCTCCTTCAGGCCACCGAGACTGCTTCAAAAAGGAACCTCAGTCTCTTGCAGGTAATTTCCATGGCGGGTTTTCCTCTTTCCTAAGGTATTTGCATACATGTGATGATTTTTATTCACATCATTTCTTTGTTTTTAGTAACAAGCAGAATTAATGGGCCAATGTCTTTTTCAAGCCTGTGTTAGTTGGGCAAATAGCATATGGATTCTTGCTTTTCTTTTTTAAAAAAATAAAGTTTACATAAGCTAAATATTTTCTGTCAACCAAAACATCAATGACGACAGGAAGAATATTAAGGTAACCTTTGTGCAAGAAGAAGCAGAAAGTGTATCTTTACATTTTTCATATTCTTCCATTTCAAGGAAGGACCCCAAAGACCTTAAGCTGTGATGTGTTTAGATCCAACTCAAATACTAAACAGCACAAAAACAGGAACCATTTGATTTTGCCCAACTAACTCCACAGTAAACACACAGAATTCACTGTATGAGAGCTCACTTCTGAGACTCCTGGGATGGTTATGGAGTAGGTGGTCAAAGTGTATGATTCTGCAGGGCCTCACCATTTGGCCACTGTGCCCATTTGGAATAAAATCATATGTGTAACATTTTTGGCTGCTTGCTATACTGTGCTTCCAGAATTGTGTGGCTTCATCCATAATTAAAACCCTAGAGTTTGCTTCCATTCAAGCTTCCAAGAGATCCTATGACTAAAACATTTGGTAGTAAGACTATATTATTTAAGTTATAAAGCAGTGTTTTCAGTTTTTTATTGTTAAATATTTTCATCGATAGGCATGATACAGCTATCTCCTATCCTCACTACAGGATAAAGGGAGAGGAAAATTCAGTTATCTTCTCAGCTTCTGGCAGTTTGATCCACAGTAATTTAAGTCACAGCCATAGTGCTACCAAAGCATTCTATATTGCCATATGTCTTACTTGCCCAATGGTGTTAACAATATTTATTTTTAAATGGAAATATATAGGGTATTCTGGAAATTGCTGTGAAAAGTTAGAGAAACTAAATTGGAAGACTTGATTGCTACTACCTGTAGCAAGTGATGGGATATTTGGTTTTCAAGTATTTTCCTTTTAATGAGCAAGCATTTGATGGAATGCCTAGAGCCAAAGTAGAGATAACAAAGTAAGGCTAAAACAAGGTTCTTGCTTCAAGGAGGCTACAGATTAGGTGACATCAGAGTGTGTGAGCTCTTCATTACAAACAACTAATAATTTATGTGATCAAATACTAAATTACATGGAATAGGATGCAGACTATGAAGATTAAGAGTAAAAATGTGCTTGAGAGCTTCTTTAGTATAGATATTTTCCCCACCTTTCCAAAAATATTTTGCATGAATTTACGAATTGGTATAATTTCTATGTTCTAAATATTAGACATAATTAATGAGACCTAACTGATGCAAAAGCATTCTTAGAGACTCCTGAAATGAATATGAACCTCATTTGTCTTTAAATAGTCAAGGCATCCCACTGGATTCTTAAATATAACCAGTCAAGAGCAAAAGATGAATGGCCCTATTCGTGTCAGTAGGATTATGATCTAGCAAGCTTGAAAATTCACAGGAAGCAAAGTTGGTTATGTTCAGAGACTATAATGGTTTGAACAAACAATGTCCCCAGAGGCTTGTGTATTTGAACACTTGGTCTCCAGTGGTGCTGTTCAGGGAGGTTATGGAACTTTTAGGAGCTGTAGCTTTGCTGGAGGAAGTATGTGTCTGGGGATAGACTTAAAATTTATAACCTCACTTCCAGCTTGCACTTTGCTTCCTGTGTGCAATTGATATATGTTCTCTAAGTTCCCTACTATAGCCCCTTGCTGCCATGCTTCCCCTCCATGGTGGACTCTTACTCCCCTGGAACCATAAGCCAAATAAACTCTTCCTTAAGTTGCTTTTGTCATGGTATTCCATCTCAGCAACAGAAAAAGTAATTGATACAGGAACCAAAGAATGTAAGGCTTAAAATATAATGGTAACTTAGTACTAAAAATGTCTAAGTTCAAGAGGAACACAGACTTACATAAGAAATAAACAGGGGCTGGCAAAATGGCTCTGCATGTGAAGACACTTGCCACCAAACCTGAAGACCTAAATTGGATCCCTAATACCCGCATGATAGGATAGAACTGATTAATACAAGTTGTCCTCTGCCTTCATATGTGTGCTGTGGTATGCACACACATATTCACACGCATGATATATTCACGCACACACACAAATATTTAAGAAAGATTGATTTTCTACTTAGATGATTCAAGAATAGGGAAATAGGATGGAGAGAATGCTCAATGGTTAGGAGCACAGGATTCTCTTCTAGAGGACCAGGTTCAATCTTCAGTACCTACATGGTGGCTCACAACCATCCATAACTCCTGTTTCAGGGGATCTGACACCTCCTCTGGCCCCAGTGAGTCCTTACACACATAGACATATACTCAGTCACACACTTGTACACCTAAAAATTAGTTTTTTAAATGAATAGAGCAACTATTATTGACATTAATAGAGGTAAGGAGACAAGCTAAAAAATAGTCATCAACCCAGTTTCCTTATATATTTTTATATTTTATATAAAGTCCTATTTATATTTTATATATATTTATATAAGGCTCATATCTATTTTATAATGGTTTATATATTGAGTATATTAAATGCATTCTAAGTTGCTTTTCAAGTCATGGTCTATGGGTATAATCACAAGTTCAGGTGCATCAGTGGATAAGGACGAGCATATGCTCACTGACTTTATAACTGAAGGAAATGCATTTAGTATGCTGGCTCATTCCCCAACTATCATAGTGAAAGGAAACTAAAGGACAAAATGCTTGTCTTCGTAGTATCCTACTCATTTTTTTTTTTTTTTTTGGTTTTACGAGACAGGGTTTCTCTGTATTGTTTTGGAGGCTGTTGGTCCAGCCTGGCCTCGAACTCACAGAGATCCGCCTGCCTCTGCCTCCCAAGTGCTGGGATTAAAGGCGTGCGCCACCAACGCCCGGCTCCTACTCATTTTTTAAGCAGTGGCTGCATCATAGGCCTGGTGACTGCTGATGGACATGATCAGTGTTCTGTCTTTATTTTATAGGCTTTAGTTACATATGCATTTTTAAATCCTGTGTTGCTTTCCTTTTTTTAAATCCCAAAGCAGTATTAATGATATCAATATAGAAATCATTATATAAAAGTAAGATAAGTAGAATTCGGTTACTGTATAATGTTGTATTGCGAGGTATTTTCTGGGGATGGGGTGCTAGAGAAAAAACCCAGACCATCAGGACTGCTAAACACACACTATCAGAGAACTAGTTTCCATTGCTGAAGAGAGCTATTGTGTGTAGAGGGGAATGAGGTCTGGGAGAGTGGGGATTCAACCCAGGATCTTTCACACACCTGCTAAGCAAGCACTCCACACCTGCACTATATCCCCAGCCCTTACTTGACTTTGTATTTGTATATGGGAAGTTGCCACATACTCTTAGGATGATCATAGGACAATTCCTGGAAGAGTTTTCTCTGTCTATTATGTGGGCTCTGGAAATTGACCGACTCAGGCTGTTAGGCTTAGCTCTAAGTGCTTTTACCCATTGACTCTCCACTGGCCTACTTTTCATTTTTTAAATAGAGTCTAAGTTTCCTACACTGCTCTTAAACTTACTCTGTTGCCTATATAGGCAATGAGTGTGTAAAAAGTAATTTTCATGCCTCAGTCTCCTGTGTAGCTGGGAATACAGGCTTGTGCCACCAGGCCCAGTTTATAGGAAAGACATTAAATAGCATGTATACTAAATTAGAGTCTTACTGAAAGGTTAAATATTCTTTTTAACATTAAATGTTTTTTTTAAATGTTTAAAAGTAGATAAAAAGTGAACTTGATCTGCCCTCCCTCTCCCATCCAGCCTTCCCATGATGCCCAAGTACTGCTCTAAAACTATAAAAACCACAATCTGGCCAAAGTATTTAAAGAGTGTGGTAAACCTTAGTATAACTACTTCCACTATGTTGTCAAGAACAAGGTAGGTTACCTCTAGGGCAGGCACCTTCAAGGCACCTAAAGCTTACAGATGGCACCATTAAAATGTGTATGGTGACAACGATACTAACACAAGCATGGCCTCTCTTGCTACCCATTATTTGACTGCCCTTAGGTCTTGTGACTGGTGGAGTAAACAGTAACAAGGGGTCAGCCTCTTTTGAAAAGGATGACTGACCAGCATTTTATGTTGTATGACTGTAGCCTTGAAAACACCAAATATTATGAATTGAGTAAAACTGGCATATTAGAGATTCCAAAGTCAACAGCATTCCTGCGCTACAGCTTGAAAACTCATGAAATCAGATTTACATCTGCAATACAATTCTAGGTACTTGGGAATTCTTCCCTACTACTCATGATAGTATAAAGATGTTTATTACACTAAAATGTGATATTTAAATGAAAGTTTAAGAGGAGACGCATGAACTCATTCTCACTGGGGAAACATTTACTTATAGTCATTTACCACAAAGTTACTTATACTTCTATTTAGATCCCAACAAAATTTGCAGTGGATGTGATAACATTTCTGTAAAGTCATTTGGGAAAAATAAGCTACATATACACATGTGAAAACAGAAGTCGGACCAACAAGAGGGAAGGAAGGGAACACAGGGAAGGAAGACATGAATAAAGACAAAATATAGTGACAAGTATGTGTGCAAATACCCTAACAAAGTCCACTGTTTTGTATGCTAACTTTAAAATGATTTTTTGAAAAAGCAGTATCAAATGCCGGAGAATTTTTTAAAGGAGGCATAAGGAAACAACTAATTGACCAAATATTTGTAGTATTAGTTAAAGAACTGCGTATGTAAAAAGACAGTCCTGAGTCAAATTTTAGTTCATAAATGACACAAAAGAGCATAGACTTAAAAATGCAGGCTGAGTGACTTTTCCCAACTATGATTAAATAGAAATCAGCCTTTAAAACAAGCATGATTGGTATGCATTTGGAGGAGAGGAAGGATATTGTTTGTATAAATAAACTTCTGTGT